GAAAGAAAATGTAATGTTGACAAAGAATAATTCGTATTAAATTTTAAAAGATGGCAATTATGAAGCTAAAATAATAAAATAATTATTTAAAAAAGAAAAAAAGTTAATTGTTAAAAATAAAAGATAACGCTTACAACATATGAAAAATCACGTAAATTGTGATATAAAGATTTTCTGCAATAAAAATGAGAGCAGGGAGAGGAGAGGGTATTGAAACAGTGAAATGGTTGAATTCAAGGCCAAACTTTATTCTTTATTTTTATTCATTTCAATAAATACGATATATACTGGTCAAATTAAAGTATCAGGATTAGTCAAAGATAAATTAATGCGCCAATAGAATAATAATCATCGTAAAATGTAGCAAGACATATAAAAACAGGTATAGTATGTTGATAGAGCTAATTTAATGAAACAATACTGACAATCAAACCATTGTCACGATAAGTGATGAAATGAAGAAGAAGAAGAAGAACAAGAAGGAGAAGAAGAGGTCAATGGTTCAACCAAGGACAGCGAAATCTTTCAATGAACCGTCAAATGGGTATGAAATGTTACATACGATCGACTATTCTTTAGCTATTCCATTATTTGAATCTTAAATAATCATTCAAAATTTTATAATTGTGATGATATTTTAATCCAGCAAAAAGAAAGGAAAAAGTATTACTTAATATTTATCCGGAATTCTTCCGGTAGATTATACATTTCTGATTTATTGCTATATAACGAAATAATATTTCCTGTTAACTGCTTATAAATAACCTATTATCTACTATTCCATAAACCTATAGTTTTGAGATGTATTGTTTTATCATCGATCCTGAATTTTCTAATTTCACAAGTACCATAATTTTTAAAATTCCATCCTTTAAATTTTGACAAAAGTCAAAATGTCTAATGAACCCAATGTACAATCGTCACAAAAAGTGCGATGATATCATCGATAAAAGATCACACTGTACGAAATAATAAACTAACGGAATGATCAATAAATTGATTGATGTTAATTTGAAAAATTCAAAATCTTCATTTTGAAAAGAAAAAATAATGGAATTTTGAATATCACTGACAAAAAAAAAAAAAAGGTGACGAAGGGCAGATAGTTTTTGTGAAAATTTATGTGAAACATTAAATAAGAATTGGTGGTAAAGAAAAAGAGGAGAAAAGATGGATAAGGACAAGAGAGGGAAAAAGCGAAACAGAAATAAAAGGGTTTAGGATGAATAAGACGGAAATGAGGCCAGGAAGGGGGAATGGAAGATGACGAGAACGAAACGGAAGAGTGTGAAATGTGAAGGGAAGAGACAAGGATGATGGTGATGACGATGATGATGATAACGATGGTGATAATGGTAATGATGACAATGGTAATTAATGATAATGACGATGATGATGATGATGCTGACGATGATGATGATAACGATGGTGATAATGGTAATGATGATAATGGTAATTAATGATAATGACGATGATGATAACGATGGTGATAATGATAATGATGATAATGGTAATGATGATGATGGTGATGATGACGATGATGATGATGGATGATGATGATGATGGAGGATGATGATGATGATGATGATGGAGGATGATGATGATAAAGATAACAGTGATAAATGAAAGGCAGTAATGTTTGTCGACGATGAATCCCTGCGAAATTGCTCATGCAAGTGGAACGTTACCGCATTACCAACCCATTTTCAACTCTAAGATTTAAAGAGCATTTCAAATCTAAGATTTAAAGAATATGAAAAATTCATCATAAGAAAATTAGAAGAAATCATAAGAAAATATAAATTCATATCATAAAAAAAATACGAATAAATTTTAGCACTTGTGGAATGATCTTTCAATCCTAAATTTAAATTTCGATTTAAAAAAAAAACGTAAGAAATGGGAATTGAAAATATTTGTATTTCATCTTATTGTCATATACAAATATCAAACAGGAATAATTATCATTTTATTTTATTCCTTTCCATTTTTGTCATCTTTGTTGATCTAATTTAATCCATTTCTTTCCTTCGTTCTATCAATAGATCAATTATAATTATTTGAATGATATTATGAATAAGATTAAATAATAATAATTGATGTGATTGAGAATGAAATGATAAAGTCGGAATAAAATTCATCATTTAAAGGACAACAGATATATCATGTGATAAATTCATACAAAAAAAAACAAATTCTATGACAATAATAACTGATGGCAATAAATGTCATATTGTAATAAAGAATAACTTTTTTCTTTTTTTTTTTAAATTACCTGAAATTTTGCTTTCTATCACAAGGATAATTATGAGGTGACAAAATCACAGCTACTATTATTGTACGTTGCATAATTTTTGCATCATATTTTTGACCTTCTTTATAATTCAAAGCATTTCCGAAACGCATTAAAGGTTAATAACCCTTAATATGCATATTTTCAAAAGAGGAACAAAATTTACACTGATTTCTCACTATAATAACTTGGCATATATATACTGGCTGACCTTAAAAATTTGAAATTTTAGTTTCTAATTCAATTTGAAAGATCAATAATTGTTTGATAAGTTGCTTTACGGTTGCTCAATGTTATTGCCTAAGCATTATGTATCAGTGTTATTGGATTTGGAGTATTTCTAGAGTAGGACGATAATTAAGTTTTACTACTGCTAAAATAAACATTTGAATGAATAAGCCAATAATAGTGCAATAAGTCGGTCTTGTATTGATTGTAAAACGCTTGAAAGCGTTGCCTTAGACTTTTCATTCAATTTAAAGAATTTTATTTTAATTGGAAAGTAAATGGAAGTAAAGAATGAGTGATATTATTAGGTAAGTATTAATAATAACGATAATAACAATAAAGGAAGAATGAATAACAGCGATAGCTAATTTCAATCGATCTATTTGAAAGTTCAAACCTTCAACGAAATATGAAAATTCTAAGATTCCTATCCATGGAATCTCTGGAAAACCATGATGGAGAAATTGTTATATAATATCAATAATAATATAATAATAATAATAATAATAATAATAATAATAATAATAATAATAATAATAATAATAATAATAATAATAATAATAATAATAATAATAATAATAATAATAATAATAATAATAATAATAATAATAATAATAATAATAATAATAATAATAATAATAATAATAATAATAATAATAATAATAATATA